AGCAAGATAATAGTAGTTCCATAATTGTATAGGGTGTGTTCGCGTGAAATGGGTTGGGTCTGCTGGTTTGTCTTTGTGTAACCACCATGTTCACCCGACATAAGCCTACTCGGACATTTATGAAACGTGCTGGAGAGATCTGTTGCCATGATGCAAGTCTGTAGATACTTACTGTAGACACTTATCGAGATGACTTTATTGAACATGTCTCCTGAGCTTTTCCAGCCATTTAGAGCAATAAGAATGTATTTAGCTCTAAGTTGAAATGATGATCTCTATTCCTGTTGTGACGTCCTGATCCAGTTTTCCTCTCTATCGTTCCTTCTTTTTAAAATTTATTCACAAATTCAATACCGCGTCGACTTGCTGAACTTCATCGGTATAGAAAGCTTATACACGATACTAGGCGTCCATGAATTTTAGTACGTTATTGTGTACACACATCACATCATCGGATGAGTAATATCTTCGAAATCTGGTCGAGTTTGATACATTCACTTTCAAACAAATACCCTTGGGGAAGGCATGAATCCATCTGTTTTCCACTCCAATTATCGGGTAAATAGCGGCGCAAGTTGTTCTCTTTAGTCATTGCTAGCAACCGGGGGACGACAATTCAAAACTGTATGTAACTCTAGTTCGTAACCATGAAAACGAGTATAGGGTTGACAATTATCTGCAATGCGGGGTTGTTAACTCTGTGATCTCAACTAGGGTTGATGAGGATGGCTTGATTCGATAAATTCTTCGTGAAACTTTTCGAGATCTTGAAATTCTTGGAACTACTGACAAGACAAAGAATTTTGTATGGAGTGATAGCCTGAAGGTGACAGATCGAGATAAGATATCGAAAAGTATATCATTTTTTTCTCATAGCTCTATGATCATTTGTGAGGTCGTATTCACAACGTGAGGACATGCTGTAAAATCACAGATTTTCTTCCCTAGAAAAAAAGATCTTTTCTGTTTCAATTCGTCATTCCAAAAAGCCAGCGTTGTGCATTAACAATATAATAAACAATTTCTTTTGAAGCTAACAAACGAAAAGAAAAAAAAAAGATAACCAGAAGATTCTGTTTATTTAAGTTGCTGACGACTGCCATTCATCACAATTTTCTTTCTTTTTGAATTTCACAGTAAATCTAGTTTAATTACCAGAGATCATCTCCAATCGTTCTTTTCTGTCAAGAGTAAAAATAAAAATAAAATGACAAGTGTTTAAATGCTGACCTATGTGTCTTTCTTTGCATTCATGCTAGGCAGATTTTCCCTGGCTTCTTTAAATTTATAAACATTGTATTTCAGTTGACCTCCATCTTCCTATTTTATTCTTTGTGCTGAATGTTCATTCAAATTTTCCTCCAGCTCACCAAGTCAGCTCTTTCAGAACGTTCTTTGCTTTTTAAGCTCACAATCTATTTTAAACCATTCCGATATGTGCTTGCACCAAAAACATCCTTATCATATTCTTCAATGAGCATTATCGGGTTGAATATGAAGTTTGAATTATTTAATGTAAATTTTGCATCGCGTTAAAATAAAGTATAATTTTCATAAATAATTCTTCCAAATGGTCTATGTAGAAGAATCTATGAGAAAGTAGAAAAAACGTTTTCGTGGGATGTGTTTCGTCCTTTACGGCCTTTATTGGGATAAAGTATCATAGACTGAGACATCGACCATTTGTCGTTATCTGCATTGCGTAAAATTGTTCTTAATATATAAAGACGTATGTATAGTTTTCCATGTAGAAGAAAGAAAAAATTGAATATACTTCAATGACACTTCTAAGATTTCTCTAATCCCTTGTAAAAGAAACTTTGAATCAACCTAATGGACACAGTTCGATGTTCGATCTCTGTGATTAATATTCATCACTCAATGAAGTGCATTGAAAAGGAAAGAGATTATATTGACTATATAAAATAAATAATTTTTACCTTCGTCTAAAGGCTTATTGAATAACCAACTTATACATCAATGAATGAAGTTTATTAACAAAGAAAGAGATTATGTTGAAAAATTATCCTGTATACTTTTTTTTCAAAAGGCTATAGTTTTATTGATGGACCTACATACAAATATATGTGAAAAATATATATATATATATATATATATATATATATATATATATATATATGTATGTATGTATGTGTGTGTGTGTGTGTAATTTACAAATGTAAAAAATGGTGCCACCGCTACACAGAAATTACCATGTTTCAAAAACAGAAACTAAAACTTTACATTTAATTATAGAATTAAATTAAAATACTTAGTAATGTTTCATTTTCAAGCAATTTTTGGAATAACTTATTTAGAAATTTGCTGAGTTTATAAGCACATACATTCTTTATTTTAGTTGCTATGGTTACGGGAAATTCATTTTCAAAAGAGCTGTAACCTTAACAACTAATATAAAAAGATATGTTATTCCAAAAATCACTTGAAAATGAAATAGTACTAGGAATTTTAATCAAAAGTATGAATTTTCATTTCATTTTGTTTCGTTTCATCTTTTGGAAGTGCTATCTGATGATCCAGAGTCTTTTAAAAGGGCTCTGGTGAAATAAATTATTATAATGGAACCTTAAAGTGGTCTGTTTTTCTTTAAAATATTAGCTCTGGATTTACCTTGAGCTCTCAGGATTTCATCCTCCTTGGGACTACCCATACGGATTATCAAATTTTTCATAACTTAAATATATATATATATATATATATATATATATATATATATATATATATATATATATATATATATACTTGTTAAAGACATTTAAAATCCTACTTTACAAATGAATAAATGTCTATTTAATTTTGTGTTTGTTGATATGATAAGTTTTTTCTTTTTTAAATATCGGGAGCAATTACGTTTTTTTTTATATCAACATAAATATTGTCGATTATGATTATCATCATGATGATTATAAGCATTTCCAGGCCCACTTTGAAATGGTGGGAGCAAAACGGATCGAGCTTCAGTTTGAAAAATGTAGTTAAGTTTTCGCCTCGTGTTGCCTTTGTGTTGTCTCAGCTTTCAGCGACCAGTCTCATATAATTTATCTTTCCACTTGAAACCCAGTGGGACAATTTTTATTTTTTAGTTTTACGCTATTGTTCCCACAATACCACAATACCAGGCTCAAGAACCACTTAAGGTAGAAGGCTACTGCGTGGTGTTGTCTTATGGATGTAAGAATTGTAGATTATGAGAATATGGAGGATTGATAAAGGCAAAAGCTGATCGTATATTTGAAGAGGTTAATTTTGTAGTTGTTGAGGAGATAGCATCATTTTGGGAGTCTGTTCCACAAAGCAACGGCTCTTGTCAAGAAACTGTTCTAATTGAACTTCATTCATACAATACAGAATACAGATATTTCGCTCCTGCTTAAACGATTTGGCGAGTTTTAGCTGTAATGATCTGAACTGGTGGAACTAGGGAATATAGCTATTTGGAGAGATATATGATAGTGACGTCGAGCTTGTAGAAAAGGAACTGTAGTGGGTAAGTAATTATTCATCTACAAAACTGTGTAAAGGCTTTTTGACCCCTGTTAATCCTGAAAAAGAGAGGATTGGACAGTTTTGGTCCTGATATAGTTGCCAACAATACCCCATTTTTTATCTGATCTGGTTCTTTTAAAGGTAGAGTATGGCAGGTTGGATCAGATAGTTTTTGAAGGGGTATAAAGAGAACTACAATTATACGCGTATTATTTGCTTTATGCTAACAGGCTTATCAGTCTGTGTTGATTAATATAGTTATCCTACAAATGCACAACGTAAAAGTAAACGAGAAAATATAAAACAACATCTGACGGTTCATAATCGGGCCTAATTTGCTATAATGTCGTGAAAAATGGCGATTAGTGAAGGAGAGAAAAGCTAATGAAAGAAGGGAATTTTCATCGCATGATAAACGAACTTTACCTTGACCCCGGTAGTCCGTCAACCAGCAGCTGGAATTGAGAAAAAGACAGACGACATCTACTTTAATCCCCTCTCACCCATCTTGGTCACGTCCAACTGAAACGTTCGGACATTTTGAAATGTTGATTAAACAAACACGTATGACAGGCGGCCATTTATTTGTTAATGCTAAGAAAAATGAGAGTTCAAATTATAAATCATAAATTCAAGAGTTAAAGTCAGCGCAGTTGATGAAATTTCTCACAGGGTTTCTTTCCAACAATTTTCTTTATACAGCAGAATCCTTCATATCCGGAATCCCTCATATCCGGAGTGCCTCATATCCGTAATATCGCATATCCGGACATGATTTTGATGTGTATATTTGAACTAGTTGGGTGATATGTAACTGATTTGAAATTTCTGTTTTTCAGGAAATTTACTTTGGATAATTGCTTATGTTTATTTCACCCTAATGGCTTGAATCGGTGCAAAAAATGATGGGAAGAAGAGGAAAGGATGACAACGAGACACATCTGCAACAAGATAGCGACGAGGTGCATGATTGTGATGAAAGCTGGACTGAAATTGGAAAGGTTGTCAGTTTTATGGAAAGAAAGCCAGCATTCAGTCATGACGATTGCAATAACGCACGCAGAGTTAAAAGTGTCTTTCGTTTAAAAAATTTCAAGAACAAAAGCAAAACGAAATGCGGAAAAAGTTGAGAATGACATTAGAAGAGAAAGAATCATCAGGCAACAGCGATTAAAAATCCTCGTTACATTATTTGTTTTGCATACGTGGCATACTTAATTTAATGAATTTTCATTAACATTACATAATTCATTTCTTTTTTCCTTAAAATCAATTCCGTTATATTTCACTCATCATTAGCTTATTTTGTTTACTATAAAACATTGAAAATATATGCTGAACCTGATTTCAGTTCTTTTATTTTAATCTAGATATAACCAATTCCTCATATCCGGAAGGCCTTCTTCGTCCGGTTGTCAGGGATTCTAATGTATTTTAAAATCCTTTTCGATTGACTTTCCAAGAAAAACGGTGTATTCAGCGTTGTCGAGTTTTCCGGTACGATCACCGCAGTTAAGCAATGTCGAGTCTGGTCAGTACCTAGATGGGTGACCGTTTCGGAAAACCAGGTGCTGTAAGCTTAGGTTTGCGGATGGTATAATGGATAATGGCTCGGAATTGTCAATCGCAGAGCCGAGCTCCAAATTCAGTTCCCAAATATCCTTGAGGGCGGGGGAATATGAATCCATTTCTTCTCCCCCCCCGGCTATGGGTCTCCAAAATAGAAATTCTCGCAGTCTAAAAATATTTTCTCACTTTAAATAACCTTCAGTGGGTTGATAAAAAAAAACAAATCCATCAATTAACGGCTTCAAGTATACTGTCAATTATCTTTCCTACATGTCCGCATAATTTTCATTTCTTATTTCCCCCTCTTACGTACATACAACAACCTTATTTTGTAACTGTCTACCTTGAGTGGCTCTTGGGCCTTGTATTGGTTGATCAATTAGTAAAAGAAAGATAACTTTTTGGATTTCGTTTATCGTTGGACTTTTGGATTGTTGTTGCTCCTACCTCTGCAGGTGAGTTAGTTATTGAGAAGGGCTGTGAACATTGACGATATAGGATTATTACTTTGCATAAGCTCTACGGTGGATCTGTCTTTGACAAAGATGGCCATAATTAGGGGCAATCTAAAAGAAAAGCGATTCATTTAATTAACTAGACTCTTGGAATCAAACTAACATTTTAGAAAGGGACAATTAAATAACGCCCATCGAGTATTAACAGAATGTCTCTTCAAAGGAGACAAAGGTAATTTGTCGAGGCAAAGGTCTTGCTGAAGTGACTCTCATAAAACTGATTCTTTAATTGAATTCCTCTCGAAGATTTGAATAAAAGATTAATCCGATCACTGTTAATCTAATTGGGTTTTTATTTAGTGTCTGTTTCCCGAAACTGAAGTTCAAAGTCTTTGCCTGGACAAGGATCGGATATGTTCTGGGACAGTATTAAAAATAAAGAAATAAAACAAAAAAAAGATCTTATTTGCTTTATTTACAATCGGACTAATGTCCTCATCTTTGTTGCTATTGTGAAGACCTTAGTCCAATTGTAAATGATCGAAATAATCCTAAGTTCTTATTCCAGAAATTCAGACATATGAATGCAAGTCTTGTAGTCGAAGTGGCTACAAAAAACCGAAGTCTGTACTCGAGCCCTATTAGAAAAGATAGGGTCTCACGAGCTGTCTTTTTAAGGGATAAGATACTCCTTTTTGGAATTATAGTGTAACACAATCTGCCTGCATTAATTTACTCCATTCTAGCATTGTGCAATTACTAAAAAAAGCTGGCTAAATAAGCAGAAAAACCAAAGTGTCAATCTAAACAGGTTTCAATTCGGGAATTTAATAAAGAAAGCAAAAAGTCGAGAAAAAATATGCACATCAACAGAGTTCAAACTTGAGTCCTCTTTTGTAGGAGAAACCACTATGTGACCTGGTCTCTGTGGCCAATTGGTGTAAAATATGCCGTTTGTGCAGGCCAGTAGAAATAATATACACTGTCTAAAAAGACGGGACATCTATTCAAACACGGGTGTCCACTGAAAAGACAAACGGAGAACAGCCTAGCTCTCCTCTGAGCAACTTTATCAAGTCATTAAGATAAGTTTACCCGTTGCCTTTATTCACATTGTCGTTTTATAGATAAATTTTAGCTATATCTGAAATTTTATACACATGCACGCACACACACGCGCGCGCACACACACACACACACATATATATATATATATATGTGTGTGTGTGTGTGTGTGTGTGTGCGTGCGTGTATTTAGGCAGCATATCTTTATTTAAGCATGTTTGGGTAAATAATCTGGGCATATTAAGTCTATTTTTAATTTAATGCTCTCAAATTCTTGGGTCAACTTCTTAATGTTGATACTAAATTCATTAAAGAAGGCGCCGTAGTTTTTTTTATTTCTTTTATTTTCCCAATTTCTTTCCCAAGGATGAAAAAACAAAAATAAAAAAAAGAATTATATAAATTAAAGTTATCACTCTTAGATAAAACTTTAAAAAAAAAACATAATAGCTTTAATAGTTAATTTTTAAATTACTTTTAGCGCAGTGCATTCATACGTATTTATAATTATAGCAGAGTGCATTTCATTCGCATTTGCAAAAAATGCCCGACTATTATTTACATTAATCTTTGTCAGAGCAATTCCCCCCTGAAGTTGGTCTTGGATTTGATTGAAAGTACTTGGGAAAATAAAAGAAATGAAATAAACTACGGCGCCTTCCTTAACGAAGTTAATATCAACATTAAGAAGTTGATCTGAGAATTCGAGTGAATAAAAATAGACATAATAATTCCAGATTATATATATATATATATATATATATATATATATATATATATACCTTTTTTTTGGAAAGAGCGTGTTATATAGCTTGATCAACAATCTAAACAAGGTCAGCACACTCAAAGCCTCGGTCACGATGACTTGTTACTTAGTGCTAGCACAGATAGGAACTGCCCCGAAGGGTTTCATCTACCCAATTTCACTCACAAGGTTTGGATCAACCCGTGGTATGGTTTTGAGGCATACCGATAACACCATGAAGTCCCATTCCTGACAAATCAAACGCGGTGAGATTTTCATGGTCAGGAAACGAACGTTCTAACCACTCGGCTACGGGCTCATACATACATACATATATATATATATATATATATATATATATATATATATATATATATATATAGAGAGAGAGAGAGAGAGAGAGAGATGAGACCATTTATTGGCTCCTTCCACTTCTCTAAATTTGACTAAACGACCGAATTTGTTGCTCGTGGTTGGAATTTTTCAGTCACCCTTCATATATCGAAATGAGACGTATATTCGCGTCAGTGTGCGTGTCGTCTATCTAACTGTTGGATTCCCTCCTTACAGTTTAGCTAGAATAAGCTCAGTTCATTTTCCGTATGTAACTCTCAAAGTTTCAAATTAACTTTGCACTTTTTGATCCTTCGATCACTAACATTTCATTTAGTCACCCCTACATCCCTTCGCCGACCCTTGAAACCACTTCTCTTCCAAATTATAGCTTTGGTCCCCTAAACAACAAACAGAAAAAAAAAGGAATTTTTCCAGTTTAAAACTAAGAAGGGACAATTTTTTTTAATCGCAGATTTAATTATTTCTTTGCGTTACATATACATATATACTCGATGGCTGGGGTCATTTCGGTGATTTGCAATGCTTAGCAAGCTTCTATCGCTAGACTAATCCCATCTGAGTAGTGAGTTCGATACTCATTTGGTGCTCCTAAACTTTCGGCCTTGTGCCATAATCTAGGCTATGATTAGAAAATCATTTAGGGCACTTCAACGTGGTGCAATTGTTAGCAAGCTTGTCTCGCTATTTCAATTACGACTAATACGTGAAATCAATCCTCTATGGATGCTCCCAAACTCTCGGCCTTGTGCCACATTTAAGCTACGCTTAGAAAATCACCATATATGATGTCTGTCGACGTTGAGCGAGTATGACCATCGCTGACAAGTTTGATGAACATTTTTTGTTCTCGTGAGAATGACAATAACTCTTGAAACTAGGGAGAGAGTCAAAATGCTTATTTCAGATGCAGTAAACTAAGATGCTTTGTACAGAGCCTGGCCTATTTTGTAAAGTCTTTTCAGATTGCTCGTGGGTTTTCATATGACGTGTGATTCTGAGGGAAGCTCCTGCATATTTTCTGACATATCCTGCAAGTTATTTCCAGCATTTTAGTGATTGTAATTTGAATACACATACCTCCATGGTAATTATCACTCAGATGAGAATCTCACCCTCACCCTTGCATTACTTGTGATGGCTTCCATCAGGTTTTGGTGTTCATGTCTTGTAAGATTAATTTTCTGACCATCATTCGATTTCATATCAGGTGTATATGACAGGTAAACTCTGTATCCTTGATTGGGTTGATCGGATCTGCATGTCCTACAGCTCTCCTCTTCAGTTCAAAATATATTTATTTTTTTAATCATTTCACCCCAAGCAAGACAATAAAGTCACTAAGGCACAAAGAATTGCTAAGTGTGAAATAATAAAAAAAAGAAAAATACATTATTAAGTAGAGTGAACAATAAAAGAAGAGGAATCAAGAAGACAGTAGATAACGATTGTCATTGCATTTAAATTTTGCACATCAAAGTTAACTGGAAAACAAAAAAACCAAAAGAGAGTTCCACAAGCGGGAAGTGCGAGAAAAGAAACTGTTATGGTTACATTTAGCCATTTCAACTATAAAATGATGAGACCTTGCCGCCAATCTAGTACTGCGATTAAATTCAAGTCTAGGTATTATAGCGAAAAGATCATCAGAACTATTATTATGAACGTTTTTATAGAAAATGCACAGGGAAGCTACATTACGGTGATACGAAAGTGACTGAAGTCAAGATGCCAGGTCAGGACCAATAACATTGCAGATATACATAATTTACGCCTATCTTGGTCAAAACAGACAAATTTTTTTCTTCTTAGCATTTGAAACAATATTTTAAAAAACCAAAACATTTTAATATCAAATCGCGAAATAAAAGTTATCTTGAATGGTCACTCTTCGAAATCTTTTGGCATAAATGCAGATGTTCTCCAAGGCTCTATCCGTGAACTTCCGTTCTTCCTAATTTTCATCAATAAACATCCTGATGGCATCAATTTTCAACTCGATATCCATACCAATGGCACAATTATTTACTCCTGTCTTAGTGGTAAGTCTAATTGGTTCGGTAAGGTCAATTTTGCAGGCGGTCTAAAAAAATGACCTAAAATCTGTTATTAAATGATTCTGGCTTGTTAATTTTCTCTTTTAATCATCTGAAAGAATCCTTTTTACCACCCATTAACATGGAGACTGACTCATTACGTCTTCTCGAACAAACGAAGTGAAAAGAATATATTGAATCAATTGCTAGGTTTGCAGCCAAGAAGCTTGGTGCACTGAATCGTACTAGACAATTTTTCCAACCGGAAACTATCTTAAATATTTATAAGTCTACCATTCGTCCATGCCTTAAATATAGTTTCTCATCTGGTCTGGTGCTTCTGTTATATATTTA